TGGTGGTGGTGGTTGGGGTGGTGGTGGTGTGGTGGTGGGGGGGTGGTGGTGGGGGGGTGGGGGGGTGGTGGGGGTGGGGGGTGGTGGGGTGGTTTTGGGGGTGGTGGTGGTGGTGGGGAGGGGGTTTGGGGGTGGGGGGGGTGGTGGGGGTGGTGGGGTTGGGGGGTGGGGTGGTGGTGGTGGTGGGGGTGGTGGGGGTGGTGGTGGTGGTGGTGGGGGGGGTGTGGTGGTGGTGGGGGTGGTGGTGGTGGTGGGGGTGGTGGTGGTGGGGTGGTGGTGGTGGTGGTGGTGGGGTGGGGGTGGGTGGTGGTGGTGGGGGTTTGGGGTGGTGGTGGGGGTGGTGGTGGTGGTGGTGGTGGGGGTGGTGGGGGTGGTGGTGGTGGTGGTGGTGGTGGTGGTGGGGTGGTGGTGGTGGTGGTGGTGGGTTTGGTGGGGTGGTGGTGGTGGGGTGGTGGTGGTGTGGTGGTGGTGGTGGTGGGGTTTGGGGTGGTGGTGGTGGTGGTGGGGGGGGTTGGGGTGGTGGTGGGGGTGGTGGTGGGTTGGTGGTGGTGGTGGTGGGGGTGGTGGGGGTGGGGGGGTGGTGGTGGTGGTGGTGGTGGTGGTGGGGGTGGTGGTGGGGGTGGGGGTGGTGGGGGGGTGGTGGTGGTGGTGGTGGGTGGTGGTGGGGTGGTGGTGGTGGTGGTGGTGGTGGGGTTTGGTGGTGGTGGTGGGGTGGGGGTGGGTGTGGTGGTGGTGGTGGGGGTGGGGTTTGGGGGTGGGGTGGTGGTGGTGGTGGGTGGTGGTGGTGGTGGGGGTGGTGGTGGTGGGGGGTTGGGTGGTGGTGGTGGTGGGGGTGGGGTGGTGGTGGTGGTGGTGGTGGGGGGTGGTGGTGGTGGTGGGGGGGTGGTGGTGGGTTGGTGGTGGTGGGGGTGGGGTGGTGGTGGTGGTGGGGTGGTGGTGGGGTGGTGGTGGTGGTGGGGGTGGTGGTGGGTGGTGGTGGTGGGGGTGGTGGTGGTTTGGGGGGGTGGTGGTGGTGGGGGTGGTGGTGGTTGGTGGTGGTGGTGGTGGTGGTGGTGGTGGTGGTGGTGGTACAATGGGGGGAAAAAGGAGGAACCGCAAAAACAAAGAAAGGGGAGCATGCAAGGGAGCAGGTGCCCACAGAGGGGAGCAAAGCACACAGAGGGGGGTGAAAGGGGAAGTGGTGAAAATAAATAAAGAAGGAACAGAAAAACAGACAAAGAAAGAAAGAAACCCCGAAAAAGAAAAAGAAGGAGGGAAAAGGGGAAGAGGGAGAAGAAAAAAAAGAAAAAAAAAAAATAGGATCAGGTTAAGTCCGGGTGTCTGGAAATTTGGAGCATTTTTTCAAAGTAGTGGGAGAGGAAGGTTTTTACAGGATAAACCAGGGCTAAAATTCATACAAGGGAAATTGTGTATTTGAGAGGATTCAACTAGCGGCGACTGTTCGAGTTGGAAGAGGGAAAAGTTTTAGAAAGAAGTCAGTAGGACGGCTAGATTCTGACGTACAGAAAAAAAGCATTTTTGTGTCGGCAAGCCTAAAACTATTTTTTGTGCTCCCCCAAGTCTGTCAGAAAAAGACAACCCCCTTTCTCCGAAGTATTGAAGAGGAAGGGGGGGAGCAAGAAAAAGAGTGAACCAGAAAAAAACTGTAGAGGGGGAGAGGTATGAACGGATTAGTGCGAAAAGCTTAGTCTGGGGAAGGGAACTTGTGTCTAAGGGACGGAGAGAATTGTTGAATTAGAAAGACCCGGAAAAAAAAAAAGGGAAGGGGAGAGGGAAAAAGGTTCCCAGAGTAGAGAGTTTGGGGGAGAAGAAAAATTCGTTTGACATGAGGGGCAGAGTCTATGAAATGGGAAGGGAAAACCAAGGGGGGGGAAAAAAAGAATTATAAGAGTGGGAAAATTTTGTGGAAGGAAAATGAGGATCACAGATGCGGAGGGCAAGGAGAAAAGAGGGGGATAAAACACTTTTCTTGACAGGGGAAACATAAAGGAAAAGTAGTGAATGTACATACCCCTGTGCAAGGTTTTTGGTAACGGGAAAAGGAAAAAGGTTGCTCTCTCCCCCCTGTATGATGCTTAGTCTTGCGTTGATCCCTCTTCACCAATGTCCCTCTTGATGATGTCCTTGATTTCCTTAAAAAAGAAGGCCCCTGAAGGGGTTTTTACATCTCCCCAACCCATGATTTTTTCTTGATCTTATCCACCTCTGTTGGGACTCTAATTCCTTTTTTCCCTTTCCCAAAGGGGAAAAAATTTTTCCAAAAAACCCTTGGTGCGTATGGGTCTCCTCTTCCCTTTGTCCTTTTTTAATTTTTTACATGGAATACTTCGGACTGTTCTTTTTCCACCCTCGAGTGCAACCTTCCTCGGTTCCACTTGTGGTTAACATTTTGCTCTGGGTCCATAAACCCAGTCTCTTCCAACCTTTTCGAAGCTCTTAATTAATCTTCCCCCTTTCCCTTAAGTTTTTAAAACTGAATGGGAATCTAATTCCTTGCTTCCTTTCCTTGATGTCCTGTCCCCACTCAATAAGGTTTTTTTCCCTTTTCCCTTTACCGAAAAAACCCATGCACGTGGGATGTACATTCACTACTTTTCCCACATGCTCCCCCGTAAAAAATGTTTTTATTCCCTCTTTCTCCGTTTTCCCCCCACTCTGTGATCCCAGTTCCTTCAGCAGAAATTTCCCCTCTTCATAATTTGTTTTCCTGTCTTATCTACCCTTTTCCCTTTTTCATAACTCTGCCCTCCGCGTGCTAAACGTAATTTCTTTCTCCCAAACTCCCCTACTCCTGGAATCTTCTATCCTCGCCTTTCCCACATTTCCATTCTTTCTAATCTCAACAATTCTCTCCGCCCCTTAGACATCAAGTTACTTCCGCCAGACTAACGCTCTTCGCATAATTCGTTCAACCTTTCCTTCCCTACAATGTTCCGGGTGTCACCTATTTTTGCTCCTCCTGTCCTCTTCATCTTGAGAAACTGGTCGATCTCTTTCTGACAGACTTGGGGGCCCAAAAAAATATGTTAGGCTTGGAACAACAATGCCTTTCTTAAAACTCAGAGATCATAGCCGTCCTACTGACTATCTTCTGCTAAAACTGTCTTCCCTACCCCAACTCGAACGCGCCACTAGTTGAATCCTCTCTAATAAAAACTTTCCCTGAATGAATCTTAGCCCCGGCTTGTCTCTGTAGATCCTTCCCTCCCCACTTGAAAATGCCCAAACCAGAACACCCGTGCTTAACCTACTCCTCATTTTTTTTTTTTTTTCTTTTTCTTCTCCTCCTTCTCCCCTTTCCTCTTTCCTTTTTTCTCCACGGGTTTGTCTTTCTTCGTCTCGTGTTTCTTTTCTTTATTTATTTCACCCTTCCCCTTTTCACCCACCTCTGTGTGCTTGCTCCCCCTTGGGGCCCTAGCTCCCTTGCAGTGTCCCCTTTCTTTGTTTTTACGGGGACTCCCCTTATTCCCCACTCCCTACTACTACCTCACTACTACTATTACTATACTAAAATTTCTACCCCCCCACCCCTTCCTGCCCATAAAATCGTCCTGCTCCACTTCTGGTTTGTGGATTTTGTAAAAGGGCCAAATCAGCCCAAAAGTCGTCGAAGCTTTCTCTTTTTAAAGTGGGGTTATCTGTGTAACTTTTCTGTTTTCCCGTCAAACCATACCTAACTTTCGGCATGGTAGCACAGTGCACACCTTGTGACAATAACCACCATCTCTCTCTCTTACGCCACTGTTAATCACATCAACCCATAATTATTATTATAATCAAAAAGAAGCGCTAAGCCACAAGGGCTATACAGCATCAACCCATAATGCTTGTTTGTAATCACTGTTCGCATTGCAGTGTCCCATGACCTGGTATTCAACGCTCTTTCACCTTACATACTGTGTCCATTGTTAGATCCCCGGCAAGGGTGGAAACATTGGGCGTGTTTCCTTACACCTGCTGTCCCAGTTCATCTAGCAAGCAAGTAGGTGCCTAGGTATCAGTCGACTAGTGTGGGTGGCATCCTGAGGAACAAGACTGAAGGACCACAACGGAAATAAGACAGACAGTCCTCGATTACATACTGACTTTCTTGGGTTATCCTGGATGGCTAACTTCCGGAGTTAAAAATCCAAACAAAATCATATTTAATCATCATTCTTCTAAACAAGAAGTCTCAAATCCAGTTGCTTTTTAAACCTCATGTATATTAACATTTTCAAAATAAATGTCCCGTGATGAACTAGCTACCGAGGCAGCAACTCTACTACTGAGCAACTATGTGAAAACCCTTTCTTATATGTACATCAAAGTACATGTAATTTATCCATTATTTTTTTCACAATTAACGCGTTCTTAGGAGAGATATGATAATGTTGTGATTTGATAAAAATTGAGGAGTGAGTGGAATGTTGCTAAGTGCCGGTTATTTGTGAAGTGAAAATGGTATGTTCAAACACTTCCACATATTTGTGAAACATTGCAGCCACGGTATGTGATGCTTTTTGTATCCATTTTTGTAATAATTTCTTAAAGTATCAGAACTTAAAGTGCATACAAAACTGAACCAGTCTGAACACCAGACTCTCCCCAACTTAGATTTATTATTAACACAAGTCTATGATTTAGAGGTTCTCACATATCCCTCGTTGTAAACGTTGGCATAGTTCTCGGCATTTCTCATTTTTCACTTGTTTACCATTTTTTTATAAGCGAGATCTTAAAGATAATGAGGATTGTTTAACTTCACTTTGATATTCTCCTCGCAGTTGTGATCATGTTTTACCTCGCTTCCTAGACCCTTTCCTGTTGCATATTCTCTGAGTGCTGTATGGTAGCGGTGCTTTGTGTGTGTGTGATGGTTATGGTGGTCATATCTGTGTAGTGTTTGGCTTTGTAGAGGTGGTCTTGGCAGGTGTGAGTTTATGTTTTGGTGGCTGTTGCTGTTGAGTGTTGGCCAACATCAGACACGGAGTACAGAATGTTGTGGTACGTGTCTGCAGGTTGTGTGTTGGGACTGACAGTGCTGGTGCCAGTGATGGGGCTGGGACTGGAGGCTCCAGACCACCAGGAGTTACACTCTCCCTCCTCTGCATTCCTCGTCATTCTTGCCTTCTTCTGTAACCAGTCAGCGCGACACCCAACGCGTACACCCATGCAGGTAACATAATCTTCTCCTCTCTTTGTAGGTTACCATGGAGGATATATGTAGTTGATAAAACAAGAGAGAGGGAGAGATGTTGACTCCTACAGATGGTGATTATTTTTATTTAAATTTATTAAGATGGTGATATAGATGTAAATATATTTGAAATGCTAACGTAGGTGCTAAACATGTAGGCGAAAGGTGAGCATGTGTGTTCCCCGCTCAGGTGTTGCTGGGGATGGTGATGGTGAGTGGGTTCGTGGTGACCATCTACTACTGCAGTAACCTGACAGCCTTCCTGATGGTGCGCACGCTAGAACAACCCTTCACTTCCATCACACAGATAGTGAAGGTCATGCCTCTCCTCACCTTGTATTGTGACGATAAAATAATTATAATTAATAGTATTACTATTATTTTTATTTTATTTTCATCTGTCATCACAATGCAAGATAATAATAGTAATAATAATACCCTTACCAACCTCAACAGAACACATGACCACAACACAAGGCACAGATCACTCTTTGATGTTCCCCGTGTCCATCTCACACTATGTAAAAATTCAATGCACATATAAGGCCCAAAAATCTGGAATTCATTACCTGTGAATATAAAAGAAATACAGTGGACCCTCAACCAACGGTGTTAATCCGTTCTAGAGGGCTTGCCGTTGGTGGAGTTAATTTTCCCCATAAGAAATAATGGAAATAGAATTAATCCATTCCTGACACCCCAAAGTCTGATTTTTTTTTTTTTACATGAAATATACATTTCCTTATATGGAAAGGAATGGGACATGCAAAATAAACAATAATTAAATGCCACTTACCTTTATTGTGGAGTTGTTGATGAGTGATGTGCCAGCAGCAGGTACCAAGTCCTTTGGTGGGGTTACCTCCCTCCTTGGCTTTTTAATGCCAGTAAGACCAGCTTGAGAGTCACTGGACCCGTTGCACAAAATAACTGTCCAGAGAGCTCTGTTTCTCACGTGCCCTTAGGATTTCCCTAAAATGGGACACAAGAGTGCCACTGTATATGTTGCCAATGCAGCTTGCATTATTATTATTATAATCAAAAAGAAGCGCTAAGCCACAAGGGCTATACAGTGCTGCAGGGTAGGGAAGGAAGCGAGGGTATTGGATGGCAGAAGGGAGGAGGGATGATCAGTAGGTTACAGAAAACAGCGGGGCAGGGGATAGTACGGGGGTAGAGGGTAGCAAGAGATTGAAGTAGAAAGGGCTGAAGGTATCAGAATTTGTGAAGTAAGTCAGTTGTTGTCAAAAAGTCAATGAGAGAGTCCGGATGAAAGGTGGGTCCATCAGCGAGAAGGGAAGATAAAGAGAGAGCAGCGGAGCGAAGACGACGATGGAGGTAAATTCTGCGTGCTCGTTGATAAAGTGGGCAGTCCAACAGAATGTGGCTGACTGATAATGGAGCTTGGCAATTCTCACAGAGAGGAGCAGGGCGCCTCTCCATGAGATATCCATGAGTAAGACGAGTTTGGCCAATGCGAAGACGGGAGAGAGTAGTCTCCCAACCTCGACACTGGTGATAAGAAGACGGCCAGTAACCTATACTTGGTTTAATAGATTGAAGTTTGTTGCCGAGCATAGTAGACCAACGGTGTTGCCAACGGGTGTGAAGGTGGGAAGATATTGCAGCAAAATAGTCCGTAAATGGAATACCTCTATATGAAACTGGTAGGTCATGTACTGCTGACCGCGCAGCAGTGTCTGCCTGTTCATTGCCCTGTACGTCAACATGACCAGGGACCCAACAAAAAACAATATCTTTATGCTTGGTAAAGATGCGGCGTAGCCAAAGTTGGATACGGAGGACTAAGGGTGAGGTGTATCAAATTTCTGTATAGCCTGTAAAGCACTAAGGGAGTCTGAGACAACCACAAATGATGACACAGGCATAGATGCAATACGGATAAGTGCTGCAAGGATGGCATACAATTCAGCAGTAAAAATACAAGCCGAAGATAGTAAATGCCCTCGTACGACGCTGTCCGGAAACACTGCTGCAAATCCTACGCCATCAGAAGACTAGAGCCATCTGTGTACACAGCAGTGGCATGAGAATGAGAGTGAAAGTGGTCAAGAAAAAGAGAGCGGAAGCGACCGTAGACAGTTGGGCTTTCGAGCAAGGGAGAGAGAAAGAACAGACTCGAACAGCTGGAACTTCCCAGGGGGGTAGGGAAAAGTGAGATGCTACATGAACATAGAAAGGTGGTAATTGAAGAGAAGACAAGACGAATGAAGGCGAAGAGAGAAGGGACAGAGTAAACAGGGGCGGCGAACAAATAAAGAATGTCTACTAATATCAGTGACCATTCTATAAATGGAAGGATTGCGGAGATCATGAGAGCGTACATAGTAGCGAAGGCAATGGCACACACTCGATCGGAATAAGGATGGAACGTTCGCTTCTGCATAGAGGCTCTCGACAGGGGAAGAGCGAAAAACACCAAGGCATAAACGTAATCCTTGGTGATGAATGGGGTTAAGGCTAGAGAGAGTAGCAGGAGATGCCGCTGAATAGATCTGGTCACCATAATCAAGTTTCGATAAAATAAGGGTGGAATGTAGGCAAAGAAGGGTTCGATGATCAGCTCCCCATGAAAGATGAGCAAGGGTTTTAAGAAGGTTCAGCCGGCTGTGACAAGTTGCCTTCAGAGAGGTAATGTGAGGTTTCCAGGATAACCTACGATCAAAGAGGAGGCCCAGAAACTTGACTGTATCACGTTCAGGGATACGGGAGCCATAGAGGTACAAAGGATGATCTGAGATGACAGAGCGTCTAGTGAAAGTAATTTGGTGGGTTTTAGTGCTGGAAAATTTAAACCCACGTGTGGTGGCCCAATTGGAAACACGGTCAACTGCATGCTGGAGAGAAACTGTAATGAGGTGACAGTCAGCGCCTGCACAGGCAATAGCGAAGTCATCAACATAGAGTGATGACCAAATATTTGATGGAAGACTAGAGGCCAAATCATTAATAGCAAGGAGAAAAAGTGTTGTGCTAAGAACACATCCCTGGGGGACACCTTCAGCTTGGATAAAGTCCGGGGAGAGCACATTATTAACCCGAACACGGAAATGCCTGTCAGTTAAAAAGTTCTTAAGGAAGGATGGTAGATTGCCTCGAAGGCCTAAGGAGTGGGCTTGGGCTAAAATATTATACCTCCAAGTTGTGTCATATGCCTTCTCAAGGTCAAAAAATATGGCAATAACTGAGTGGTTATTCACAAAGGCATTACAATGGTAGAACGTCCCTTACGAAAGCCATATTGACGAGTAGAGAGACTGTTGTGTGTCTCTAAATACCACACTAAACGTCTATTTACTAGGCGTTCCATCACTTTGCAAACTGCACTGGTAAGAGCAATGCGACGATAGTGGGAGGTTTCATGTCCCGTAGTGCCTGGTTTGCGGAAAGGGAGAACAATGGCGGATTTCCACAGCTGTGGAAGAACTCCTTGTGACCAAATAAGATTGTAAAGGCATAATAGGACTGCAAGGGCTGACTGATGTAAATGTTGTAGCATACGAATATGAATGTCGTCGGGCCCAGCTGCCGATGATCGGCAAGCTGAGAGTGTTGCCTCCAGTTCTTGAAGTGTAAAAGGCACATTATACTGTTCTTCTCTGAGAGAAGAAAAGTCCAAGGGTGCTAACTCTCGGGCAGACTTTGAGGAAAAAAATGAGGGCATAGATGGAGTCCCTGAGAATACGGACCAGATGATTGCCAATTTCATTGGCAACATCTAGTGGGTTTGCTATATCAACACCGGCAACCCGCAGAACGGGGAGCCGGGTCAGGAGAATATTTACCATTCAGTTTTCGTGCTTTTTTCCAGACTGCACTCATAGAGGAAGCAGAGGTGATGGTGGAGACATAATCTCGCCAGCAAGTGCATTGAGCGTTCACGGATGCCCACGGCGAGCGATCGCACGCTTCTGCTTTAAAATCAAGAAGTCCTCTGTGGTTCATTGTACCGGTACCTGCCCCATGCAGCGCGTTTCAAACGTACTGCACGATCACAAGCAGGAGACCACCAAGGAACGCATTTCTGAGAATGCCTGCCCGAAGTTTGGGGTATAGAATGAGAAGCTGCGGTTTTTTAAAAACGGGGACGAGAAGAGGTGTAAAAACTCATCGATGGAGGACGAAGAAGGAACCTCTCTAAAAACAGTTAGGTGTGAGTAAAGGTTCCAATTGCCTGATCAAATTGCCAGGTGGGTTAAGAAGAGTGGTGAATATGAAGGGGAAAGTAAGAATGATTGGGAAATGATCGCTGTCATTTTAAGTCCAGGAGAATAGACCAAGTGAAGTCTAATGCGGCGGAGGAAGAGCAGACTGAGAATCGATGCAAGAGAGAGTGTGAGCCCCGAGGATCAAAATGGGGAGTGAGTACCTGTATTTTAAAAACATGGAGGGGGGGGGTGGCAAGAAAAGCCTCTAACTGAATGCCACGGGAATCACAGTGAGCCCCCCCCCCAGAGGAAATGGTGGGCATTTAAAATCAACCAAGTAACAGAATCGGTGGCGGTAATGACGAAACCAGAAAGGCAATACCGGAATAGATAATGCCCAGAAGGAGAGAGATATAAAGACAGAGCGTATACCACCTATGCAAGTGGATACGGGCTGCTGTGTAATGCAGCGAAGTACGAACGAACAAATAGCTGATGGTACGGAATATCATGCGTAAAAGAAGGGCACTTTCATTAAAGGTCCATCAGGAAAAGGATCTGAAGAATACAAAAAATTTAAATAGCCTGAGATGGGAGAGATAACAGCAGAGTGTAATTTTGGACCCTGTAAGCAAACACCAAAAGGGGAAAACTGGGAGAGTAACATCTGAAGCTCACCCCGATTACCCCTGAGGCCGCGTATATTCCACTGTAAATAGGCCATGACTGGCAATGATAAAGATACCTGAAATCCACAGGTAAGGGTTCCTACGGACTAGAGGGGTTAGAAAAGTCCACATGCGAAGGCAGTGGAAAACATTCAACCAGTGAAGGAACGGTGCGCTGTAAAGAAAGAGTTGCCCCAGATGGAGCAGAGGAGAGAGAAGGAGTGGAGGGTGGATCAGTGTCCATTGATGGTTTGGTCTCTGTAATATATTCAGAGACAATATTGGAAATGGTAGGGGGAGGATGAGTAAAGATTGGAACTGTATTGGACTCTACCAAGGTGGGGGAGGGGCGAAAAGGGGTGAGGGAACTGGAGAAGCGTGGAAGGGGACAGAAGAGGCAGAAACCTGGGAGGTGGCAGAAGAGGAAGAAACTTGGGAGGGAACAGGGGAGGAAGGTACAGTAACGAGGAGGAGGGTGA